CGTTTGCAGATATTTTCAGGGCAGAAGAATCCCGTTGAGGATGAAGACGGGCAATTAGAAGGGGTACGAAGGAGCCAAGAGAGAGATTCTTTCCCCCCTTTATCATGAGATCCTGAGACTCACAATGTGCCCTGGGAGGAGATTCCATGACGGAGAAGTTGATAGCGTACAGGCAGGAGGCATTCTGTTCCATTGCTCCTTGCCCCCGATTTGAATGACATCGCTTCAACGAGTCGAATATCTTGCTCGTGTACATCAGATCTAGCCTCCTACGCTAGACGAGGCCCTCCCAATGGTATCGCGCGCTCCTCCTTCTCATCTTGCCCGTTTGACGGTTTCAAAATCATTATTCTTCCTTCCGTCACTCACAGTAAAGCTCTCGCGGCTCATGCGACACTTTCATCCGCAACAGAGTCCATCCCAAACCCAAACTTTGCTTCCTCAGACGCTCATCTGCTTGATCAGCTCGACGAGCTTGTTCCCCTCGCTCTTGTAGTCGAGCAGCGTGACGCTCATGGCCTGGTAGCGGATTCTAGGGGTATTGTTAATCTCCAGTTGGACGAAGAGGGGAAAAGGGGTCTTCTCACCTCTGCTGGTCACCATAGCTGTCCATCTTTGCGCGGACGCGAAAAGCGTACTTGCGGCAGTTGGCGGCGTCAAACTCGGCGGCGACGCGGCTGTCGTCCTCGTCGCGCAGGGCCATGAGCTCGTCGGCTGACTTGCCGTTCATGATGGTGCGGGCCGTGTCGTCAAACAGGCTGATCCACATCTGGCCTGTGTGATCGTTGACGCTGCAGCTCATGACGTAGCGGTACCGGGGCTTGTCGCGCGTGATGTCGCACTTTTCGCAGCGCCAGGTGCCGTCGCCCATGTCCACCACCTTCTTGTTGCAGCCCTCGCTCTCGCAGGCAGGGTACGAGAACGTGTCCTGCTTGAGGTGCACGATGGTGGCCTTGACGGTGAAGTACTCGGTCTGCTCGAGGCCGAGGTTCTCGGTCTTGACCTGGGCGATGCACTTGAGGTCCTCCTTGCGGCCGGACCCGCCCATGCCCGTGAGGTTGTTGTGCGAGGCAAAGTTGTCGTTGCGGCCCGAGGCGTCGTACCAGCCCTTGAGCCGGTGCGCCTCGGGCACGTCCGGGTCGACCGACATGCTGCCCGAGGACAGGAGCGACAGGCTGCGCCCGCCAAAATCGCCGACGCGCATCCCCTTGAAGGCGACGATGGACTCGGCAGGCGCGTCAAAGGCCGTCGCCGTCTTGCCCCAGATGGTGGCCCTGACCTGAAAGCCCGTGTCGTCGACCAGGACGAGCTCGCGCTTGTCAAAGGGCTTCTGGGTGGTCTTGGAGACGATCTGGGACACTTCTTGCACCTCCTTGAGGACACCAATGACGTCGACGGTCGCGTCCTTCTCCACGTCTTGCAGCTCCTGGATGTTGACAAAGTTGTAGCGGATCTGCGGCACGTTGGACTGGTCTTCGCACTTTTCGACGTGGGTGTCGCGCTCAAAGACGAGCTCGTAGTCGTTGTTTGTGTTGTTGAACTGCTTCTTGGCCATCTGGACCTTGCACGGCGACGAGATGTAGTAGACGGTGCCCTCGTTGAGCACATCCCAGTACTGGTCGGCCTGGTCGTTGAAGGCCGTCGCGCGGATTTCCCCGCTCTCGTCGAGCAGCGTCACGTTGAAGAGCTTGCCTTCGCCGCTCGGCTTGTGCCACGTCTTCATGTCCGACTTTGCCGTCACTCGCGCCTTGATGGTCCACTTGTGCGAGTACATGGACAGCGACTCGATGGGGTGGATTGTGTTGGATCCATGCGCGCCGCCGCCGCCGCCGCCGCCGCCGCCGCCACCACCGCCACCGGCTCCTCCGCGAGCTATCTGTTTCTGAACCTGGGCCCTGGAGTCCTGGGTTTCGTCCTTGGCACCGTAGAAGCCGGGACCGCTCATGGTCGTGTTGGCCGGCGCCGGGATTGCCGTGGTGTCGATGCCTTTGGGGTCGCCAATCTTCTCCGGGGTGCCGAATTCCGACAGGACTTCGAGGGCGAGGACGATCAATACACTTCTTCCCTTGAGGTGCTGTGCTTGGTGCGATGTCATGCGGATGATAGCGCCTCGTTGAAGGAGGCCATCGTGTACAAGGTGGTTGAGCTGGGTGGCGAGCATGCACTGGACGTAGCTCTTGATGTCGCTCAGGACGAGGCGGTAGCGTTCCTGGCCTTGGCCCTGGGGTTTGGAATCGAGCTGCTTCACCTGGAGACATTGGAGGACCGAGACTGAAAAGTCTCGTTGGGCGCGGGCGGGGTCTGTGAAGATGGCGCTGTTGAGGAGGAGAGGTCAGCTCTGGGATGGAGCTACAGAGCCCGAGAGGGAAGCTCGGCGACGGCGAGGATGGCACTTACTCTAACACGCCCTGGGTGATCTGTTGGGCTGCCATTTTGGCGTGATTGCTACAGGACAACTGCAAGCAATCAAGACGACAGGACTTTTTTGCGTGTTTCGAAAGATGTAGGCTAACGCTCGCAAAGATGGGATGGTCGACGTCGATGGGTCTATTTTGGCGGAGGTGGAGGTTGACGTTGGGAATATTTGGAGTTGGAGGGGTCACGCGTTGAGAGCAAACGCGAAAGCGCGTCGTGGGGCAGCCCTCTTTGATTTTAGGCAGGGACCGAAGCAGTTAGTTTGGTCTGCTTAGTGACTAAAGGCAGTCTCAGGAGGCAAGGACAGGCTACGCTAGCCTTTCGAGGGTCATCCGATAAATTGATCGAATGCAATGATGCACGCACTTCTCAGCACGAACAGCGCCATCCCATCCCCTCCACCAGTCTCACATGGTGATTGCTCCGCTTGATGAGAGCATCACAACTTCAACTTTGTAAATGAAGCGAGATCAGAGCCACGGGACTCGGCTCGCTAGGGAATCTTGTTCTCCATATTTGCTCCCTATAGGACCTCGCCCACCCCCAAGTATCCGTCCTGGTGTTTCTTGGGGGACAGCAGTATCGACGCCCACAGCAGGGGTCATGGATTGCATTGGAGAGCGGGGTTCCAATGGCAGTCGAAACCTCAAGACGAACCCCGCCCCCAGCTGATCATGTCGGTGAACAACCTAACTCCCTGGGGTTGGGGGAGCTTCCATGACTTGAATTCCATACATATCTCAAGAGCTGAAGGGTGTCAATACCACAACAACGTGGACCCCTACCCTCCCTCCAAACATCAACTATCTCGCTTCTAGCACCCGCAGTCTCAAAGTTATTCTTTCTCGGGACTGCACTTCAACAAGCCCTGTGCTACAACCAAGCTCCCCACACTACCTGCAGTCATGGCTCCCATCCCCATAGTCGACTCTCACATCCACCTCTATACCGAGTCCGAACAATCCACGCTCACCTGGCTCAGCCCCGAGCATCCTCTCACCGGCAGCCACTCCATCACCGAGTACAACGGCAATACTGGCTCCCCAGCCCACCTCGAGGGCTTCATTTTTATCGAGGCAGACCGCAAGAACGATGACGCCAAGTATGTCCTAGTTGCCTCCCCCCCCCCCCCCCTATTCCCGAGGTCAACAACTGAACACTCTCCAGGAACTGGACCTACCCCCTCGAGGAGATTTCCTTCGTCCGGCGCATCGTCACCGGCTCTCCCAAGCCCGAGGACGGCCACGCTGCCACCGATGCCAAGCATCTCCTGGCCGCCGTCCCCTGGGCACCCGTCAACCTAGGGCCCAAGAAGCTCGAGGAGTACCTCGCCAAGGCCGAAGAGACGGCCGGGCCGGAAACCTGGGCCAAGGTCAAAGGCTTCCGCTACCTCATCCAGGACAAGCCTAACGGGACTGCCCTCGAGGAGGACTTCATCGCGGGACTCCAGGTCCTCGGCCAGCGAGGCTTCGTGTTCGACCTCGGCGTCGACCAGCACAGACGGGGACGCATCCAGCTGGACCAGACCGTCGAGATGATTGACCGCGCCCATGAGGGCGTGGACGAGGACAAGAAGGTCGTCTTCATCATCAGTAGGCCTCCCCCTATCCCCCGTCCGTCCGCATGCCACCGCTAACGCGCCGCACCAGACCACCTCTGCAAGCCCGACCTCACCATCGTCAACCAGTCGGACCCCTCCTTCGTCGCCTGGCGGACGTCCATGTTCACGCTGAGCCGGTGCCGCCGCACCTACATGAAGCTCAGCGGCTGCTTCGAGGAGCTGCCCGACTGGCTCAAGGCGCGGCCGGCCGAGGCCATCTTCGAGGCCATCCTCCCGTGGCTGGCCATCGTCGTGGCGGCGTTTGGGCCCGGCCGCATCATGTTTGGGAGCAACTGGCCCGTGTGCAACGTGGGCGTGGGCGAGGACGCGTGGAAAAAGTGGCACAGGGTCGTTGAGATGGTCTGCGATCTAGCCGGGCTGAGCGAGGACGACCAAAAGATGCTTTGGGGCGGGACGGCGAAGAAGGCGTACAGTATCGGTGCGTGAGGGGCAGGCCGTCTTTGTGTGTTGGTTCGGGCAAAATATGATTAGAGAAGAAGCACAGGAGTCATGGGGCATGAAAATACCACGGAATTCCTAGGTCGAGGACGCGCTCAGTCCTTTGCGTACCTACCTATTCAGCAGGTCTTCGAAATGAGGACATCCGGCGCGCGCGAGACCGTAACCGGACAAAAGTGGGTTGGGCCGGTGATCATTCGGAATGTGATCGGCGCCGTCCCGGCCTCCCGAATTTCATGTTCAGTCGAGGCCGGATGCGGCTCTGGCTTCCCCAGAAATGCCACGTGGTTTCTTATTCAGCCCGACATCATCCCGTCTTTCGTCTTGTCTTTGCGACAGGACACAGACGGTCGGATTGAAGCATTTGGAATTGTTCCCATCGTCGACGCAACCCCAGATTCTCCATCGCCGACCCACTTCAACCGGTGGTCGGGCTTCTAGCCGTCGGGCATCCGCAGCGAGAAGCAATTTTTTCCATCTCCACACCCCGAGTCTTGTGCCTCACATATCCACATTTTTGGATACAGCGTCAGTGGTTTAGCGGTAAAATCCATCGTTGCCATGTTGCAACATCTCGATGGGGCCCACGTTCGATTCGCGGCTGACGCATCTCGCCAAAGTCAACAGACTTCCAAAACTGGGTATATTTTGTCTGTTCTTCTTTTTTTCTTTTTCTCTCCTTTTTTGACAGATCGCCTCCCCCAGGAGATGATTGTGGAGGTTGCGCAGGACGACATTCTCGCTTCCCCCCTCCCTCCGCGCGAGATGACGACGACGATGCGATGGGACAGGAGGATATATCCAGAAACCACGTCTTGTCGGTGCGGAGGGTCAATCTCGAAATTCAAATGCAGAAACGCTGTGTAGGTAGGTAGTAGGGCTCACCACCGGCCATACCGACGCCGACATATATGAGGGCTTCATTCGCCTGTCATTTTTAGGGCCGAACTTCCCCGGATTTTGCTTGGCCAGAGGGGAGACGGGATTTCCATTTCCGTGAATTTCTCTCTGATGCCCAGCCCCCGCGAGATATATTTTTCTCTCCTTTCCCCCCCTGCTTTCAATGAAGCGGCGACGTCTGTACGCGAGTCAAATTTTTCCCAGCCACCTGGGAAAAAATGGAGGTGTCAACGACGACAGGTCGGCCGCAAGCAAGCAAAATGCACAGCATCGAATGGATGCAAAGCTTGACACACACCGTTCTTCTCCCGCCGTGCTGCTTGAAGCCTTGAATCCAGTGCGGCCAAATCGGCAAGAGACACGACATGAGACGGAAACGGAGGGGGACGTGGGAAGCCATGGACACTGTGTGTCTGAATAAGTCCAATGACATGAGACGGCTGCGAGGGCAAACTGGGACGGCGGCTTCTCTTCTCGAGGCTGCTGCCGGAGCAGCAGATCACGATCACGGCGGCATCACGAGCCGCCCCCATTGATGATGCCCTGTCTTGGCGCAGCTCCCAGGGGCGCGGAAAGTCTGGGGAAAATACCGTGGTTGCATTGCGAGAGCCGGAAAATTGACCCGGCACCCGGACTGCAGCCAGGCGAAGGGCAAGGATTCTACGGTGAAGGAGGAAGGGGGTGGCATTTTGCGAGGGCCTAGATGCGGAAGAGGCGTGGACCCCATGCCGTTGGTCCGCCTTGACGCGTCAGAGAGTCCTGGTTCCAGAAGATTTCCTTGAAACGGCCGAGCGACGGCATGAAGCAGGCACGCCTGGAGATCATCCACTCTCCAGACATCAGATGAACTGACGGGCCATGGTTCGCGTCACCGTGGTGTGGTGTGGTGTGGTGAGGCGGCACGGAGAGGAATGCGACGTGGACGTTCCTGATTTTCCCCATGGGCGGTCAGCCCAGCAAACATTCCAACCCAACCCTTCCGCTGCCGCTTTCCCCAGGTTGGGGCCGTCTTGGAAGTGACTGGATGCGATCGGACAACGCATCGAGCCGATGAAAAAAAAGGGGGGAGCCGCTGGCAAGGTCGGAGGGATATGACGAGAACCCTTCACCCCTTGTCGACGATGCTCCGTATGGAAATGTACAACCATGGCAGCTTGGCCCGTCGGTCTGACTGCGGCGAGTACCCGCTCATGCGCCATCCCTTTGCCAAACACCCGATGGTTGAAACAGACTGCCATGGCGAATCCAGTCGGGCATTTGCCATGCAGCGCGCTCGAGGCCAGCTTGCTGCGGCCAGTGCAGAGTGCACAGAGCCACGGTCGAAATGAAGCGTGCAACGACGGAAAACGATGCGGGCCAGTGGACGCTGTGTCGTGATGCTGACCAGGTCAGCCCCGAAAATACCGCGCGACTCGCGGCATGTGTATTGGGTATTGGGCATGGCGAAGCAGGCAGCGATGCTCCTCCGAGGAGACCATCACCGCGCCAGTCGACTCGTCGCCAGTGATGGCTGCGGTGTGTTTGTGTGATGTTGAGGGAAACGGGCGAGCCGACGAATTGGCGTTACCCCACAAAGCGCTGGAATTGGAGGCCACGCCCGTTTGGGCATGGCGCGGCCGGTGCCCCATGGGGTCAGAAATTTGGGGGAGGGAAAACTCTGCGACCTGCTCCACGTCTCCTCTCGATCCTGTCCTCTCACAAACAACCATGGAACGGCTGAACAAGGCACCACCGCCCACCGCCTGGGGCTACGGAGTACCGCCATGACCCTGACCACCGACCGCCATTGCTGTGACGCAGTGGCCAACGGCGAAGCGAGGGACCGGTCGACATCTGCTACAGGCCGAATCAAAGCAGCTTCCTAGTTTTTACTTGGCAAATATGTCTAGACTCTGGACCGGTAGTCGATGGCGGCGAGTCCGCTCCTTCTTCCGTTTTGCCTGGGCCTCCTGTCCCCCAGGCCTCTTTGGGCGGCTGGAAATGGTCCATCAGACCGAAGCAATAGCGTGCCTCACGAGCCGCGAAGCTTGCCGTCGTCTCTGTCGGGCCAATGTACTCATCATTTTGCGCAATTCTGGCGCGGATCGCCAGGCCCGCCGTGGCTTTTACCGACAGCTCAATGGACCACACCTCAGCTAGCCAGCGGACAGTTCCCCAAGGCGAGGCGCATTCCTCCCTTGGATGTTGCATTGTCGTGGGGGACATTCCTTTTCGGGACCGTTTTGGGCTTGCGTTCCATGCCTCCTCCTCCGTCTTGCTGGCGGCCGGTCAAGGGAGGCCAGGAAAAAGCAAACCCATCGGAAACAGGCCAGTGCCTTGTCTTGAACGGACCACTCCGTGTAAATTATCCCAGGAGAAAAAAAAAAGTCGGGGGCCGTTGCACAAATAACTTAGCGTCCCGTCCTTCCCCAGGATTCCACGGAATCCGCATCCAGACTTTTTTCTCATTTCACCCCCTGCTGTGCTCTCAAGGTACCGGCCCGACATCCTGTGCTCGTCGATACATAAGAAGCATCCCTCCCTTCTGAGACATCTTCTCCCACAGCTGCTTCCGGTCCTCCCGCACTCCAACATCAGCACCACCGACCAGACCCAAGTACTTATATCAGCCTCGGCCACCCCATCTTGGACTTGATCTTCCCACCACACGTACATCAAACTTCTCATATCAACGTCTCATCCAACAGACCAAGCCCATACCAACCTCATCCTCGACCCTCTTGCCAACCACCTATCTGCCCACAAACACCCCGACACTCACCATGCCTTCCCAAGTCGCCTCCCCCATCCCCATCTCGGCTGCTCGCCGTGGGAACCTGAGCTTGGTCACAAGCCAGGACCTCTTCGCCAGCCTCAACGCTACCCTTGCGTCCCGGTCCAGCACCGGCATGTCCGCTCCCAGCCATGCCATCCGCGAGAACGACTACTCGGTCCCCGCCCCCCCGCCGCCGTCTCCCGTGTCCTTCCGGGATCACTGGCCCCAGAGCATCCGCCGCTAAGCCCGTCAACAACCCTTTGACCGACCGCATGTCATTTTGGTTTCTGGGCGTTTTTTGGGATACACACACACGGAGGGGACACAACCATTTCGCATTGGCCGGCGGCTCTGTAAAACGACGGGATCGACTGTAACAACAACACTACCTTGACACCGACAGACAGACCGACCGACCTGCTTGGTGTCATCAGCACTACTACTACTACCTTCTCGAGGGAGCTTTACACACTGGTTCGCAAGACACACGCAACACATCTACATACACGGGGCTGGGGCGGGAAAACGCAGAGGCGCGACATCACATTCGACACCTTTCATTTTTTCGGTCCTGTTGGCCTTTTGGAATACCCTTTTTATTGGTGAACCTGTACTAGACCATCTTGGTTGGAATTCAGCGAAGCGGAGAGCAAAGGCAAGGGACTCCGGTTAGCCCTCGTCTGACGCTGCTGGATATTATTATTAGTACCTTTTTTTTTTCTTTTTTTTTCTTCTGGCTTTGTTTGTATTTTTTCCCCACCTCTGGTCTGGGACCTCGGGGTTTCCCAAACGCTTGGGATAGGGTTCTAGACTAGATAGGGACAGGGAGGGCGAGAAGGCGTTGGGCAGAGAGAGGGAGGAATGCCTACTGCGGCGCTTGAATCTCACACATTCAGAACACACAGACACGCAAACCTGCAGTGATATGACAGTGGCTTGCAGAGAAAGCAGCCTCCCTTGCTCCCCATCAGATGCCAACACCACCAGGAGACGAAAGAAAAAACATGAGATACCGAGGTGACCAACCCCCCTTTTCCCTCCCTGATTGGACACCCACACACACAGACCAGACCAGACCATTCACACACCGCCGCGGCACCACGTCCACCACCATTCGACGACCGAGATACCGGCACTAAAGAGCACACTACCACAACTGGACACACAAACCAATCCCTGACCACGGCACTTATATCCTTAGTGCTCTACCCCTAATCACGGCACCCGCGGCTGAGTCAACCCGCCCCCGCCGCCGCCGCCGCCGCCGCCTTTTGGCGGACGCGGGGGGACCCCAGGTTCTTGCGGGCGGGCGCGGGAGGAGCGGATACCACCGCTCTTCGGGGCGATCCGAAGGTGTGTGGGTGGGGGGGCTTTTTTTTTGTTCATGTGATAGGGACTTTGGGGGTACCTGCTTGTACCTATGTCTTCCACACAGTACTTGTGTGGTAAGGGTTTGGGGGTGTGGTGTGGGGGGTAAATTGTCGTTCGTCACTGGAGGCACAATGTCATGTCGGTGATGGCTGGGGCTGTGGATTGGGGGCGAGGCGCTGACTGCGGTTGTCTGGTGCGGTGATGGCGGTGATGGGTGTGATGGCGGTGATGGCGGCGCTGGTAGGTGTGATGGGAATCCTACGTGGATTCTGTCTCGCTTCGGCTGGTGGATTTAGAGTTTCTAACCTCGACTGGGCTGGGCTGTGCTGTGCTGGGTTGTGACATGTTCAGGTTGCCTCGGAGTCTCCTCCCGCAGTACATACATACGTGCGTTGCTCCGCAGGCTCGTATCTCACCCTGCCGCGGTGGACCGGGGGGAGAGACCTAGGTTCCGTGGCTATGGCGTGGGGAGGTAGGGTTCCCCGTGCTGCAGCCGGCTCGTGTCACGATAGACTGCCTACCTCCTACCTGGGTACCTACCTACGTTGATTCAGCATGCCTCCAGCCTGGCGCCAGCCTCTTC